CCGCACTGTAGTACTTGTGTCACAAAAAAAAAAATAGTGACTATATTACGATTGCAAGATGTGCCTTAGAACCACACTGTTGTAATTTATGTACAATTATCTCAAGCTTTTATATGACTATATATCTCTTAAGAAAAGAAAAAAAAAAATTAACTACTCATATTAAAAAGAAAAGAAAAAAAATTAAAGTAATTTTGAATTCCTACTAAATTTGAGTAAATTTCTTAACTACTTGTGTATTTAGCTTTAGTTTGTAACTTGATCAAAATTATATTATACTTATGTAACACGATTTATGAGAATGATTGATAAGACTTTATTGACAAAGATAGTTTTCAAGAATAAGTAAGTACCTTTGCTTGCTTCTTAATACATATAGATATATATAAATGTATATAGATATAGTTACTTAAACAATTATTTTGTATTTAATATTTGACTAGTTGAGTAATTTTTTTGGGTCGATCATAATTATATAAAAAAATGAATTTTTATGTAGATTTATCGAAAATTTGAGAATTAAACCTCCCATATTACAATTATATTGTTGAGCTATCACAAAGTTTTGTTATATTATTTTGATTAATTTTATTTTAATAATTTTGCTTATTTGATAAATTTCTGAGATATACTAATCAAATTAAATCTACCGACCTATAAAAATAGGTAAAATATTATTGCACGTGGATGAAGAAATCAACGGTTGGGATCATCCAATTCCAAACCCTATTGTCAAATCCTACAATTACAAATAATAAATTGAATAATTTATTGAGCCTCCAAGCAATACTGAGGGAAAACACCAATACGTCGCCGTTTCAGGGCCCACCTCCTCTGAACGGTGTCGTACGCATCTCCTTTGCAACAAGAAGAATTCATCTACTTGACAAGTTGGGGATTATGAATTTTTAATAGAATTTTCACAATTTAATTAGCTTAATTCAGTTGTATCTATCTACAAATTATTTGATTTGACCTAGTTTAATTGTTGTACACAATTCAATTAGCTTAATTAATTGGGTAAATTACAAACACCCCCTTGAGGTATGACCAAATTACAAAAACACCCCTCTTGTTTGGATAATTACAACCACCCCCCTCAACTCATCAAATTTAGTGGAATCTTCGAGATTATATGGAATATTATCACTTTTGTACCCGTTTTATCCCATTCAAACTCTACATTATGAAGCAAGATGACCATAATATGTGATTTTTAGCTTGTATATATCAGTTTGTGGTGCATCGAAAACTGTATTTTTTACACAAAGAGTACAAACTAGAGCACATTTCACGGAATTTAGATGACTATGTTGATTTGCACCATAAAAGTGCGCTTATAATTACCTGTACCACTAATCCAACGCCTGCCGTCTTCCCCCCTTTCTTTTTCCCTTTTCTT